CACTTTATGTTTTTTTTTCGTTTCATGTACTATCACTTAAGACACCTATGAAACTGTACTTTTTGCGTGTACACATATCTCTTGATTATGCGGACTATTGATTTACCACTATTGTTACACATTCCCGTATTACCAAAACGGTCTTTCAATAGCCATAGCAAAACACAAACGACAAGTTAGCTCGCTGTCTCTAGTTAAGAGCGTACGAATTAAAAACTGAATGCAGTAGAGCCTTGATTATGCGAGCTAAATTACAGTACTGTATATTAATCTGTATCGTAAAACTCTTTGCACGTAGGTTGCTTTAGATCCAATTGCTTCGAATACGTGAAACGTATTCGAACAACAGAGTATATATTCTTACACGAACGTTCGGATTGTCGAGGTTCTATTGTAATCGGTTTACCCAGTCTTCCCTATTGCAAAATTCTAAATAAATTGCGACAGACCTGCACCGACAGCCGCCAACACCGCCGAATTAGATGGCTGATTGCCGAGCGTATTTCTGATCGGCCTCCTGTTGAAAATGGCGGGCAGCGTCTGTCTTTCCTGCTCGTACTCCTTCCGGCTCTGATCCACGCTCTTGAACGTCTTCTCCACTTCGAGCAGCCCTCCGTGAGATGTGGTAGTGTTCGTACCGTTGAGTGACGGTAACACCGTCAGCCTGACCTAGGAAAACGATACTTCATCAAGCGACTGCCATCGTCCGACACTGTCTCGAACACTGTTCGTACCGATCGCATCGACGAACAAGCATTCGAACAATAAAACTTTAATAATGGGTCAATGGCAGGTTCGAAACTTAACTGTCGACCTTTGAACTTTCGGAATTGGAAAGTCAATAGGAAACTGATCTTGAATGAGATTTCTGGTTTTAGATGATTTAATGATAGATTTAATGGGATTAAACATAGATTTAATGGGCCAATAGCAGATTCAAAACTTAAATATCGACCTTTGAACTTTTGGAATTGAAAAGTCAATAGGAAACTGCTCTTGAATGAGATTTCTGGTTTTAGATGAGACTCCTTGTATGCTATAATTTTCACAACTTTCTTATTTCATTGTTTTTCATAATTTTCTTATTATAGTTCTTTATTTTTATAGTTCTGTATCTATCGAGCACTGAAAGCTCCACTAAAAGTAGTACAATTGCTTCACAAAAAAAAATAGAGCTGGAAAAATTTTATTTCAAATGAAAATACGAAAACAGCTATTCGAAACAATTGATTTCGAACCGTCATGCTATTATTTGAAAATATAAATAATATTGATACATTTGAAACAAAAGCAATTTCAAATAATCAATTATTTCTTTGTTTTCTTATTTCAAATATGACTAAAGGAATAATCCTCCAAATAATATGCAACGATGAAATTCTTTACTTTAAGAAATCGTCGCATTTAAAAGGTTTTAGCTTCAAAAAGATTTAATCCAAAGAAATCTCGACAGCAATCTTCGAGCAACTGATTTTCTTAGTCATTGATTGTCGAGGTTCTGCCTAATTCTGCCTAATCAACGCTCAGACTGCGCACAAAAATGGACAATTTTGAAAGAGAGGATACGATTATTCGAGTCTCGCGGCTCGTTTCTTCCCAACTATTTGAAAATACAAATAATATTGATACATTTGAAACAAAAGCAATTTCAAATAATCAATTATTTCTTTGTTTTCTTATTTCAAATATGACTAAAGGAATAATCCTCCAAATAATATGCAACGATGAAATTCTTTACTTTAAGAAATCGTCGCATTTAAAAGGTTTTAGCTTCAAAAAGATTTAATCCAAAGAAATCTCGACAGCAATCTTCGAGCAACTGATTTTCTTAGTCATTGATTGTCGAGG